CCTCTTTGTTCAGGAACGAATGGAAAATACTTTTTTGTCAGGTAGTTTTGCTCGCATTGTTCACAGGAAAAACGCCAGTTTTCTATGAATCCAGAGAAAATGGCCAGAGAATGTAATTAATACTTGCTTGCAAAAATCATTTCTTCAGTGGTATAGATGTGCTGCTTGGAGTTCCGATAAAGAATCCGGATAGGTTCTGAGAGATGTGTTCCATGTGACAGCACTTCCGTAATCGGTTCAATTCTCGCCTTTCATTTTGATTTAAAGCACAGGACCATTCGTCCACTCACATTCATCCATCATCAACTCGTCCGTCTCGTGGATCGCCTCTCATTTGCTTCACTTACCGCCCTTCTCTATCACCACATAAATATGTGTTAAATGTTGATTTCGGTGTTTTCCAAAACCAATGAGATAAATATCAAAATCGCCTGGGCTGCTGGTGCATGTTAGTGGTGTTACTGAGATGCTTCCACACATCGGGCACAGCTGTGTCGGATCTTTCGATCCTGGATTGCGTATTTCCAGTTCTTCGTTCCCGGCACCAATTTTTGACGTTCAGGCATCACTGCAGTACGTTTGCCAACAAGTGGAGGTTTTTTTGCAGTGAAAATACAGATATTTCTATTGTGAACAATACAAAGCTATGCACAGTACAAAACAGCAGCATTAGTTGTGGATGTCTAACAACTCTTGGAAAAAAATTCTTACTAAAATAGGAAATTTCAAAAATTTGAGATCGCTGGACTGAGTCATTCAGTCCAGAAGCCGGATGAATCGGTTCAGAGAATCGGACAGCGAATAGATCCAATAGCTGCATCAAAAATGCACTGTTATTGTTATTAATATTTTTGGACAGATGTGTGTGTATCTTTCATAAGCAACCGGTTACCAATTATCTGCACCCCTCCCTTCCCCTACTTTTCTCGTTTCCTCTCTTGTTACCATTCTGGATATAACGGTTGATTTTGGTTGCGTATTTTTCAGACAACAAAAGCATGAATTTGACGGAATTAGAGCGTTTCAGTAACCATACTGCAACTGTATTTCACCGCATGCGCTATCGCGGCGGCCCCAATGAGATGCTTGATCATTGAACAATGAAAAAATTAGTCTGGAGAAATTTTTTAACGCTTTTGCCCACAATAATTTTGCTAAATAAGTTTCAAAAACCCGGAAGTCGTTTCAGACCCAATTGTTGATTCCGACCACCCTCGTAAACTAGTTTTGATAGCCCAAATTTGAAAATTTTGCAAAACTTCTGCTTAAGACGGTTTCGACACGTGTAAACCGATTTCGAAAACTCATAAGTGGATTCGGCAGTTCTTAGTTCGAATGAAAGCCATATATTCTTTATCGCTGAAGTATCTTTGCTTCATTTCACCCCCTCTCCTTCCTTTATCCCCTCTCATTTTCATCATTCTTTCCTTAATTACCCGTTTAGTTCACATTCCTAATTAATGCAAATAGTGCTTGGTTCTCCCGATCAGTGCACTTTACAAGCCTGAATGGGCCTATTGCTGTTAATTTTATTAAATATAGTTTAGATGCGATGTTATCTACCAACATTTGATAGAAAATTAGCAAAACTGTTTGCGTGGTACACAGAAAATTATCTCGTTGATCACTATCCAGTGTTT